AGCAGTGACGGACGCGGGATTAGATAAGAGGTGGCGAGAAGTTGTCGCCGCGTAGTTGCGGGGATCAGGTCGCGGAGCAGTTGCACACACAGAGGGGGCGGGTCACTTGGATGCAGCGCGCGCGGAGCAGACGCGGCGCGGCGGTAGGTTGCGTGGTGCAAGCACAAGGTAGGTTGGCTGGCTGGTTGGTTGGTTGGTTGGTTGGTAGGTTGGTTGGTAGGTAGGTAGGTAGGAAACGTTTGCACATCCGGGACCGGGCGTAACTATCGGAGCTATATACACGGCCACTCTATACGAGGCCGGAGGACGTAATTACGCGCGTTCTGCCAATATTGGTTAACCTTTCGAGGTTGACGCCACCATATGCAAAGCCCCTAATGAGTCGCTCGAGTGGCCCCGGTGTCTAGTATTACGCGCTCATCTCTGCCCCACCTCCCCTTTGCGTCGTTATTACCTCTACCGGAGCTATTCCACGATATCCTCTCTTTTCCACTATTTCCACCTCACCCTCTTGCTCACCTCTCTCCGCGTATTACGCGCTCTCTGCACCCTTTTCCTCTATTCTCCTCTTTCTCTACCACCGGGAGTGTTTCGCGTTTCTAAATTTGCGATACCGGGGATATTTGCTAACTGTCGCATTTTTCCCTCCCCGCCTAGCAGTCGCCGGTAGACAGGAGGTCCACTTGCCCGCATAATAGTGCGATACTCTTCGGCTTTCACCTAAATTCAATTGAAATTCATTCACCGATCCCCTTCGTCACGGTAGAGAAGGAAAAATCGCGAACAAGTGGGATCTCGAAGCGAGAGATCGACGAGCCCTCGATCTGCGAGAAAGAGAGCCCACGCAGACGAGATTCCTCGGGATCGAGCGTCGAAAGAACTTGCAAGCCCTTGTCGCGGGACTTTTAGATCGTACCAGCACGATCTTCACCGGCCGTTGCAAGATTCGAGGCTGAGCAGCCACCGGTGCCCTCGCTCGTTGTCGCATCTGCATTGCATCGCGTAACACACGAGCGTCGCGGGACGATCGCGCGTCGATACATCCGAGCGATTCTCCGTTGGCACGCAACGGCACACTTAGTATGTAAATCGCGGCCCTGCAAACGCGACTGTGTGCGCCAATACGTGTGGATAATTGCGCGGCCGCCTGGTCCCCGCGCAGGAGAGAGAGAGCGTGTGGGAGGCAGTCGAAATTGCGCATATCAATGAGAGAGGAGGAGGAGGTCGGAGGCTCGATTAAATCTAGAGGCGGCGGCCGCTGGCTGTCAATTTCTAACTTCCTGCACCCGGCTATTCGCGGAACGAGCTGTTACGTTTTCACCTCGGCTACGCGCAACTTTATATATGAACCGTGTTTCGATGCGTCGTCCGCGCGGACAAAGAAGCACTCCGTCCATTTCGCAGGCGTATTCTGTGCCCGCGTATCGATGGAGATGCAGTTTCGGAGTAAAAGTTTCGTTCCGTCAGAGAGGAACTCTCTGTTGTGCTCGATGAAATAGAAAATAGCCCGACTGTGGACGTGCGGTTCGATATTCGGCTGGTTTAGAGAGGGAACTGCTTGGGAAGAAATTCGAAAAATCGTAGAAAATAGATCTTTGCGGAAGAAGATATTTTTGAAAAATTCGAGTGTTCAGAAATGATCAATTCATACGTGATAGGAAAAGTCCGTACTGGGCTAGCAGAGGGAAGGGATTGTCCAACAAAGAAAATTCGAAAAACGGCAGAAAACAGATTTCTACGAAAGAAGATACTTTCCATCGCCACACGGTAGAAAGTTTGCCACAGTATCTCGATAGTTAAAAAACTATCAATTCATACCTGACCGTGCCTTGTTCCGACATCGGCGCTCGATAGATCTTGAGAAAGGGGGCCGACCCCTTCTCGCGGTCCATTTTCTTTCCGTCCTACTCGGGTAATCTCGAACAATCTCAATCGATCGGACGTTTTCGAACGAAAGCAAAAAGGAAAGAGAGAGAGAAAAAGGGCGAACGATCGGAGAGAATTGCGGAGAGGGGGAGGAACGAGGAGGAGAGAGCTGGAAGGTACAAACAAAAAGGCGGCTGATTTTATAGACGAGCTACGAGAGCCACGACGGCCGCCTTTCCCTTGTCCGAGGGAGTTTAATAGAGGGTGAAACGTCCTCGAAGTTGCAACGGGTCCGCTTCCTTCGGATCGCTGCCTTCTTCATCCCCGTCCACGCGGTCATCAGCAATCTCGGATGTGGATTGCAGTAACCTTAGGGAAGGATTCCGAAAAGGGGAATTACGCAATCTTCTCCTCTGTTCCCTCAGCGACGGCACGTCAACCTAACCGCTCGTTTTTCCTTCGATTTACTCCGATTTTGTTACCTATACTTGCTCGCTGCATATGAGTCGTCGAATTTCCATCGATCGTGAAAATATCCGTGTTTAGTTGTATCGTTTAACTGTTATTTGTGATTCTTTTTGGGGTGTAAAATGTACCGAGGAAGCGTATTCAACCCTTTCGCTCTTGGCGCCGATACGCGCTTTGAAAATTTCTGTCCTTGGCGTTTATAGGCGTTTTCAAAATTTCCACTGTGCCCTAAATTTTTAAATTTAAATATTGAATTCTAAATTTTTTCAAACTTTTCGAATGCCAAAATGACAGATTTTACAGCCGCGTACTAAAATCTGCCGCAGCGAAAGGGTTAAAAAATGAGGTACACCATTTTGTTTACTTAGAATCCCGAAATTCCTCTCTGGAATGCCACGAATTTGTATTGGAGTTTATATCGCAGAGCTCTGCGTTCTTCGTGCTTCTATAGACGTACCGTAAAACAATAGGGTAGAAATATCGAAGGTACAAAGTGACGACTTTCCGCGGTGCACATTGTCGCAACGCCGGTGAATTTCGGTGAACGCAACCTGGCCAATATTTTCGCGGAGGCGCCGGTCGTTCGGGTCGGCGAAAGCCCGAGATTAGATCACGTCTAAACTCGTAAGCCCGGACAGAAGATTTCATCGGACCATTTGTCGCGGCCCCAGGCCGAACAGAATCGGTCGGGATAGGCGCGCGATCGTAAAACGCGATTTAGTCCCGGGAAAACGTCTCCATTTGAATAAACTCGCGTCCGCGTAAAAAGGACCGTTGATGATCTCGTCCGGCTAGGACGTAAAACACGATAGATCCCCTTTTCGAAACGGCGAAATCGCGGTTGTAAAATTTTAGACAACGCTGAATCATTCGACGCGATTGTTTATCCGTTGCTCGCCAACGTTCCGATCGCACTTCTTTCTTATACAAATTTACAGTTGGCGATAAAATAAGAACTTTCCTTCTGCTCGATAATGCGTCGTATTTCTGAAAATACCGCCGTTCCCGGAAAATCTTCCGTTCCATTCCAATCTCCGTTATCGTTTCTTAAATCACGTGTAAATTGTTTATCAAGCTAAATAACCGTTCGAAGAAATGTGTTGTACGGTGATTCGATGTTGCGTGATATTCGAGGCTTCTGAATGCAAATCGTAAGCTTTTAGAAGGTCAGGTTTCGCCATTTGGAATTTCTGAAGCAAGTTCTGTAGACATACACAGGGTGTCCGAATTTTTTCCCAAACAAACGTTATTTGTCCAGAAAAAATGAGACAGCTGTGTAATCTCTTAACCTGTGAACGAAGGAATAACAGCGAACCATAAAATACCCTCCAACACAAAGCCCAAGTATTAACAGAGTTAAAGGCATCTTGAAACTTGAAGATCCATCGTTCATTCCCGAATTCTCGACAAGATCTCTCACAGCGATGTCGGTAATCGCGCAGGCGTTTCCATTAATCGTTGGACAGAGAACCGTATTCTCGTGTGTCACGCTTCGGTTACAATGTCGCTGGTAACCACCGCCTCGAACAGCGCTACCACCACTATCACGACGACCATACCCGCCGTATCAGCCTCGCTGTGCCACCCTTCCACGGCCGATGGATCGTCGATAGGTATTTTAGGCTACAGTATATAATAGTACATACCTATAACAGGTTCGCGTGGAACTCTCGGCAGTGTGGGGGGAGGACACGGAGGGGTGGGTGAGCGAGTGTGCGAGGGCGGACGAAAAACAGGAGGTTGCAGAGAGAGAGAGAGAGAGAGTGAGAGAGGGCTAACAGGAAAAGGGAGAGGGGGATCGATCGAATCGCCATTACGGCGAGTGAGTGCCGGGGTTGCTCGATGGAATCACGCCGCCGCTGGGGGTTTATTCTCCGTATATATTTGCCGGAGTATCACCCTCGACCCAGTAGGATGTCGCCCCCTATCCAGGAGGGTTCGATGCTCTGGCGCGCAACCCGCGGCCAGGGGAATGAATCTAGGAAGGCAGACTCTCTCTCGCTCGATGTTCCTTTCTCTCTGACTCTCTCTTGCTGCAATGTCGAGCCCAGCACTTTGGACTTGCCAAAATCTGCGGGGAATTCGCACCCTCGACAGGATGCCACTTTTCGTGCAGAGTGGTTCGACTCGACAAATGTTGAACAATGGTTACGTTTTTACTATTCGAGCGGAGAATAGGTTGCTCGTTTCTCGAGTAGACGGTTGGCGAGCGTCTTCGGTCGGAGGATGAGTGGCGTATGATGGGTCTTGTTACGTGTAGGTTTGCTTCCAGCGGTGATATTGATTCGAGACACTGTTAGGTATACAATAGGGGCAATGATGTGTGGTAACACGTTGCAAACTGTGTGGATGCTTCAGATTCCTAAAGACACTTCTAGAAAAATTTGCGGAACACCTTGTGGCACAGTTCGTGAACGATCTTAGGAAATTAGTTTAACTGAAATTTTGCAATAATTTGCAAAACACCTGAAAACATTGTGAAGCAGAAGTTTCTTAGAACGGTATATCAGAACGAAAGATTCGTTGCGAATTGTACGGTAGAAAATGTAAAAGTTTCGAGGTGCAAATTACAGCAGTTTCCGATCTCTCTAAACTTCTCAACCAAACTTCGCCGTAATTAATATTACAGCAACTTCGATTCACGAGACCCGATACGATCTTTCCAGATACGGCGCCGGATACGACCTCGCTGCGCGGCGGAAGAACGCGACGAGGGAGTCCACGGCGACGCTGAAGGCCTGGCTGAACGAGCACAAGAAGAACCCGTACCCAACCAAGGGCGAGAAGATCATGCTGGCCATCATCACGAAGATGACACTGACGCAAGTGTCCACATGGTTCGCGAACGCGCGGCGGCGCCTCAAGAAGGAGAACAAGATGACCTGGGAGCCGAAGAACAAGACAGACGACGACGACGACGCGGTTCTCACGGACTCGGAGGACAACAAGGAAAAAGACGATCTCGCGGGTGACAATCAAGGCGACAGGGTCGGCGAGGAGGCGAGGAGAGGTCTCGAGGAAAACGGTGAGTGACGTCGGTTACCTTGGCTAAAAATATTCTCGAAATTCCTACGCTCTACGTTCAATTTTATGCAATAGCAATACCTCTCGACCCTTTCGAATTCTCAAACAACCGAGATATCGCGGCAGATAATCCGTCAATTATTCCAAACGACATGCTCCTTAAAAAGGAAAAGAAAAAGGAAGGAAAAAATACACCTTGCTTGTAAAGTACGTAGTCAGAAACCTCGTTCTAGCTTTCTTACGTGCTCCCCAAGTTTAGTCGATAAGGTATGCACGCGTGTAACGGCACGAAACGCAATAATCCATGCAGCGGGCACACGTTATCCGCGGGAAGAATGCTCGAAACGATCGTTCTCTCTCTTTCTCTAGAATCTCGAAGGAAGCACCGCCATGAAAGGGCAATTATCGATGTCCCGATGTGTACACCCGATGCGCACAATAGCGTCGCGCGGCCGAGGGTGAACTCTCGAAACGTGGCCCGATCTCTTGGAGGAATGTCTGCTAGCGTGTGTGGAGCTCGCGTGACTAGTTCTCCCCGATATCGAGTGGCCATCGGACCGCGTTTCTGATATTGCGCAAGCATCCATTCCGCGCACAATAACCGTACGCGACCTCACCCTGCATGGATCTAGCCGCGCGCCGCCATTCACGGAGATCCGCACCGCGAGATCCTCTGGCGGATCTCTCTCTTCTCTACTCTCGAGTACCGCTACCAGGCCTCTCTGTACGCCATTCGCGATAAATATCGCTTCATTTCTGCTCACCTCGAGTTTCTGCACATTTGTATGAACGTTTTAACAGTGTTAACAGTAGTATCGTTTATGCCAATTTTTGTTGGATAGTGTGGTTTATACACGTGGGAATCGTTTCGTTCGTGGAGTCTCTCGTGGAATTGTAGCTTTTGTTTAGGCTCGTTTGGGATAACGTAGGAGGCGCTGGTTATCGTGAAATTAATTACTCTTGTTGAAATCAGATTTCGCGTTTGCGTTTTTAAGTTTGAGATCGAATAGGAGTACTTTGCAAATTCGAAGATTCTAGACTCTTCACGGCCCTGCGTGATCAGTGTGTTATTCGAACCCCGATAAAGTGAAACAGCAGAATATTTCTTCTATAAAAGCCTACTAAACCTACTAAAAACCGGAAGGTCTCAATAGTAATATCGCAAATTCGTATTATCTAAAATAGTGCAAACATCCTTATCCTCAACCTCAAAGATTACACCACTCACAACCACAACATCCTCCGCAAATTCTTCAAAAACACGTAGAAACTCTTCCTAGAAACCGTACCAACATCGAGCACTTCCTCCTTCCTCCACCTCGTTCCCAAAATTCCTACATTCACGTATCGTCGTGCCCACACTCGTAAATCCCGGAGCACCTATACGCGGCTTACTCTCGATCGCAAGAAGCGAGGCCATTTGAACTTCGAAAGTCGCGTGGTACAAGCCGTTCGTCCCGGGTCAGCCTGTAAATTCAATTACCAACACGAATTCCTCGGCGACGCTGAAACCAACGTGTATATCCCCCCCCCTACATCCCCGAGCCAGCGTCGCTGAGCCGTCGCTGAGCCGTCGCTGGTGCTCGATAGGCTACTTATTCAGGCATTTTGCCCAACGGCCGGAAACGGCGAGTTAGAAATTCGCTGCGAAACCGGCCGTGTGTCGGGCTCTATATCGCGGAGGCGGACATAATGGTTCACATGTGGGTAAACACAGTGACGGGTTGCGGGTTGCCGCGCAAAGAGATTAATGGCCTTCGGTTTGGTCCCCTGGTGGACCGTTGGTCCTGCTCCCTGGTATTGGAAACCACACACACACACGTATCCCTGCGTACACAGTCGCAGCTTTCGCATAGATACACGAGTGTATAGAGACAGAGAGTGAAACGGTGTGCGTGTATATTGGCCGGTGGATGTGGCGCGCGCGCGCCAGGGCGCTCGCTCGTCTCCCTAAGCGTGTCTCTGTGGGTGTGAGGCGGAGGGTGCGCCCGGGCTGAGTAGCCATCCGTAGGACCATATACACTCCGGTGCCACGGGCTCTCCATATACATACAGGGATGTATATAGATAGAAGGGGAGAGTGGTGGTTCGAGGCACGGTGATGTATCGGCGCCCGCGGCGAGACGAATGGTACGGACCCTCCTATGGCCACCATTACCCCACCGCACATTGGCCAATATCGTCCCTCTCTGTCCCTCGCGTCCTCTCTGGCTCGCCGCTTGTCCTCAGTCCACCGCCCTCCATCTCTCTCTCTCTCTCTCTCTCTCTGTACCTTGGCTTTGGTGGCCTCCCTTCGATTCGGGACATTTAGGTGTTGCGTTGTCGCGTTGCACGCGCTACGTCTCGTAGTTTTATAGTGATTTTTGTAGCGAACGGTAGAATATTATACTGGTTTGAGACGAGGTTTGCTAAATTCAAGAGAGCCCTCGTGAATCTCCATGGTGAACGGTGAAGGGAGAGAGAGAAGAGGTCACTTGAGAAACATGCGAGCTCTGCGAGGAGGGTTGCTACTCTCGACGTGTAGTAGTAGTAGGACTCTTGATTTTTTTGAATACATATATCAACGTGGTTAACTTGGTTACATCGAGTATTCAGAATTTTCCAATTGAATCGGAGTTATTTATCCTGTTAGAGAGATACAGGCATAGGAGAGCGCAAAGATTACGAGATTAACGTCTGATAAAACGAGGGGGTCAAAAGTTAAAGAGCCACTTGTGGACTCGACGGTGGTATCTATTTAGTTGGCCCATAAGGTTCCCTTTATAAGGGGGGCGCGTGCACCCTAAACCTAAACTCTCCGTTACTTCTCTCTGTCTCTCACCCCATCGGCTATCTATCCGTCCATTTCTGTTTCCCTCTCTCGCGGGGGTAACGAGCCCCTTCTAGCTTGGGAATTATCGCTTGACGACCCATCAAGTAAACCCTCTGCCGACTCATTCGAACCTCTTAATGAAATTCTCACCCCTGACTGACTGGCTGGCTGGCTGGCTGGCTGGTTGGCTGGCTGGTTCGGGTGGCTGGATGAACCAGGGACCGTCTAGGTTGCGTCTGCCCCGCACAAACTCGGTATTATCTATACGTCTAGACACCCCTGCGCCACCGAGAGAAGACCATAGCGGTTTGGCGCTCCGCTTGTAATTTACAGCGCGCCCCGCCGTGTCTCTACATCTACGATCCCGCAAATTTCTCTCCTCGGTCTCGTGTCCCTTTCTCTTCTCCTCTCGTCTCCTCTTCTACGTCCGTCTTTCCTCTTTTCCCCTCCTTTCACCTGCCTCTTTCTACACCTCCACCCGGTTGACCTCTGTTCCTTCTGTCTCCTGGGCTGCATGCACGCTCGTCCGTGGCGAACATTGCCGCCGTCAGATCGCACCGATAATCGAACGTGTGACACTAGGTTAGAAGAAACGATCGATCGAGGAAGTTGGACGAGAGAGACGGGAATTCCTGCCTCAAAGTGGTTGAAGGCTTCGCTCCCTTTTTTTCACAGCATCCCTTACAGCTTAACCGTATAAGGGTGCAAGAGGGAGAGACTCCGCCACGTTTCTCCACGGCGCGTCGAAAGAACCCCTCGCACAGCGAGCCTAGAGGCGGCTCTCTCCTCCCCGATATATACACTCGCGTGGATCTCACTTTCACACCAGGGATTATAAACCATTAATTCTGACATCTCGTCCGAGGCGAAATAACGAGAGGGTGCGTAAATGGCGATACCGTTGACCGTACTGAATTTTCTATTAGTTTCCCGTGGAAAAAACGTTTTTCTCTCTACTCTCTCTCTCTACTCTCTCCCGGTATGTCGGGGATATGGAAAGGGAGAAAGAAGGAAGTTTTACGAGCTATTAAGCTCGCCTTTATTCGATACACACTTACCTCCATCGGCGGTATTCGCGTTTATGACCGGTAGAGAATTTTTCTCTTTTTTCTTTCTCTCTCCCTCTCTCTTCCCGAACCACACCACGACCACCGTACACGTTTCACCATGAACGTCCAGCCATCGAAGCTCAACGGGCAATTTACTAAATTGACGCGGCGCGGTCTGTTTGCAGAGCCGATGAGGCACGTGAAAGCGGAGCACTTGCAGCACGACAAGGACCTCGACGAGGAGGACGACCTCGATCTCGAGGAGGATCCCCGGCGAGGAGAGCATCCCTTTCACCACGCGATGCAGCACCATCACCATCATCACCAAGGATACGCCGGGGAGGACCATCTCAAGGACGAGGGCATCAAGTCTGACTGTAGCGCGGCTGGAGTTCCTATACCGGCGACCAAACCGAAAATCTGGTCTCTCGCGGACACGGCTGCCTGTAAAACACCGCCGCCACCTACGCATCCTCATCATCAACAGTACCATCATCTTCACCATCAACAGCACTACGGTCAACAACAGCATCACCTGTCCAACCAAGGTCATCATCATCATTCTCAGCAACCTTGGCTCGGTTCCGGCGGTGGTACCGGTGCCGGCGGAGGCGGTGGAAACCTGAGTTCGTTCGCTTTACCCTCCTCGGCGTCTATGAGCCCATCGGCGGCTGCAACAGCGCCATACTCGAGCGCAGCGACGAGGTACGGCGGTTTCCTCTCGTCCTCGTCCGGCGGGCAACTCCACTACAACCCAAACTCCTCTTCCGGTTCGACTTCGAGCGCGTCCTCTTCGGCGGCGGCGGGGTTTCCCGAGGTTGGTACGGACACTCCACCCCAGACACCGCCCAACATGAAGGTGGCTACACCGAATGGAGTGATCCAGGCACCAGCAGCCGGTTACTGCACTACTGGCAACGGGAACGCCACGAGCAACGGTAATCCGAATCCGTACGGGCCAAGTCATCCGGCTGCCGGTGGATATCTGTCGACCAGTTCCGGATCGGCCAGCAGCGCTTCCTCCTTCAGCTCCAGGCTACAGGCATCCCCTCACAAAGACTTCTCGCCGGCGGGACAGAACTCGATTCTCCATCAGCATCAGACCACTGCCAGCCTACCGCCCACGGAGGCCACCACCGCCTTTAAACCGTTCTACAAGGGGTACGTTTCGATCTATCGATGTTTCTATTATTATTACGAATTGCTTAGTGAACTTTGTTGACTTAGAAATGAGATATGAGTTGGTAGAAATGAAAACTTCTGCCAACTTATTCTTGAATGAGTTTTGTATCGTCCGACGTACAATTTTTTCGATATTTCACTTTCTTCTCGAGTCATGAATAAACGAATGCCCACGTGTCCGCGTAGAAGGTGAATATTTTTTTAAATTTTGTTTAATATACTATCATCAGAATAAATGATTTGCTCAATCCGCACAGTGGATTTTTCTCGATTACCTAAGGGTTAACGAGTAAATTAACGTAAATACATAAAATTGTGTTCGACGAAGACTGGACAAGAGTAAACGTTAAAAATTGCCTGTTACAGCTCACAGTCCATGGGCAGCGGATTCGTGTCGCCGGTGTAAGCCACGCAGGCTCCATTCAGGATCATCGTCGCGTCTCTCGAGGTGAGTAAAACCTCTCGGTCCGTATATCGTCAGGTTGGAGCCTGTATTTTTTGCCACTTAACGAACTCGGCATCTAGTCCAACTCTCTGTCTCTTGGACGCACACGCTACAATACCCGTGCAAATCGCCTTAGGCTGAAATATCGTCGCGCGGAATTCCCAATACACGCGTTCTCATGTCCACAGAAATATCACGAATGAATCACTTAACCATTCTACTCTCGAGAGAAGAAAAAAAAACACAAACTCGAATTGTTACTGTCCAGAGGAACTTCTCGATGACAAATCGCAATTACCGCGGCGACGTTAATCGCGTGGCGAGTAACTTCGTGGCTAGGCGCGATCGTAATTCATCTCGCGGTGTGAAAAAGGGAACACGGCGAGTAAAGCGGAGGTTGCTTCGGAAGAGTACTGTGTAATCGGTTTGCAAAACTCTCTGTTTCTCTCTTTTCGCATGCAGAGTTGGGAAAATCGATAAGAAATTAATATCCGACGCGTCAATTGGTCGTTAAGGCTTGGCCACCACACACTCTCTCTCTCTCTCTCGTTTTCTCGAGCGTTGAAATAATAATGGCATTGAGCAGCGTATCGAGCCGCGCGCGGTGAACGGAGAGGAGAAGGAGCTACGGGTAAAGGAAAGAGGAGAGAAGAGAGGCTATCGCCACCTCCTTGACAGTGACAAATGGACGGAGATTTCAATCAGTGAATGGAATCACCACTGGCTGG